GCCTGCGCGTGCTCGCTCGCCTGGATGCCTCGCCACTGGACCAGGCCGACCGGGTCGCTGGGCCGGTTGATGGCCACTGGCCTTTAATTTCTCAAACCATTAGCTAAATTAGTTCAGGAATAAATCTATAAAATCAATATAAATTTATGTAGCTGTCCAAAAATTGTGAAACTAATTTTGTTAGGCTCCTAAAATCATGATCTACCTGCTAGTATAATTTGTTCACATAGTTGGATAATATTCTTAGGAGCTATATAATTAAATTGAGGTACTTAATAGTATGAAAAGATAAACTTGTAGGAATTTTCATGTTAAATTGGTAATATTGTTGAATCTAAAAATTGTACAGTAAATTACGAACAATATTAGGTACTTACTATAATGTTTATAGCACCAGAATAATTAGTTCGCTAGATGGATAATGATGCTCTATTTCGAATAATGATTAAATCGATAGAATGAAATAAAGAAACAATCTTGGTGTATATAACTAAAATAATTGTTGGGAAATAACGTCTTATTCGACAACATGGATATATAGCCTAAGTACGATCGTCGTTAGAGCTATCTCGTTAGCTTGTGAGGCGTGATCGGATTTCTAAGCAATTTGGCTGTCGTTGATTATTTACATCTATGCATTTGCATCAATGCATATCATATAGGTACGATGATGGATCAACGGATCAATTGAAGGATGATTGGAAATCCGAAGATGGTGTAATGGTATTCTCTCCAGGAGATGATGCAATGGGCTTTCTATTCAGATGATGTGGAGGATCTGAAGATGCAGATACTAACTTTTAAATATATCTTACCCAGGCAAGCCCCGGTACATAACCCCTACTTTTCTGCAGTTTAAATTATATTTGTGCATTAAGTTTTAAGGAGTTGAATGAAACCCACTTGCATACATATATCTTTATCCTATGAGTCTTACTAGTATGACAGGATCGTGTAGATTGCTATGCTACATGACTCCGGTAGAAGTCGGGTGATTGCCTGTCACTCGCGAGCTATAGGAAATATGTTACTATATCATTATCACTTGGAAAAATATAAATAGTGGAAATGAAAAATGAGGACCGGACAGGGATATGGTTTGGGTATTGGTGGATGTAAGAGGTTGTGTTGCCGTGGACGCGGGGCATATCTTGGTTACACTGCTTTCCTGTCTGGTCGGTTAAGGACTGTCCGTTGTATAAGGCTCTAGGCAAGTTACAGACTTATTATCCCGAGCACATACTTGAGTATGGGGGCTTGGAAGACTTGTTGCTCTCTTGTCGCGGATCCGGCTCTTTCCGGACCGACTGTCAGGGTTTTATTTTGGTGGAGGAGGTCCTTGCACCGCACTGAGTCCGGGACTCAGAGGCGGGGGCTTGGAGTCCCAGTTTGGACGGGGACCTGGACACCTGGGACAGGAGAGTGATGGGTTGTTCCTACTTGTGCCTTGGGTACAAGCGGGGCGTGTGTTTTCGGGGTACCCAGCTGGGGGCATTGATTCGCGAATCACCGGGCGATCTGATACAGCTTGTCTACGGTTTAGCGTCGTAGTAAGAACTGAAAGATGAAAGATGGAGGATGGAAAAAGGAACTCTGATTGCTTACCACCTGCTTGAAAGTAGTACAGATGCTTACATAGAATGGTTAGTTAATGAACTAATGCGGTTATTAATAAAAATCGAATATAAGGACGTACGCTTAGTAATGCTTCCCGCAAATGCAATAAACCCACAAACCAGATAGCCTTGCATATCCTTGGAGTCTTTTCTTTCCTCCTGTCAGGTAAGTCTTGCTGAGTACAATTGAGTACTCAGGGTTTTATTCCCCCTGTTGCAGGTGACATGTGGATGCTAGATCTAACCCTTGTGTGTGGATACCAACTGGTGGGCTCAGCGAGGATTCCTTTATGCTGCGATCGTAGTTGTTATTTATAACTCTCACCAAATGCTTTTATAAATGAAAATTTCATAATCTGTTGTCATAGTTTATTTATCAATACTTCATCATATCATGATTAGATATTCATTTCCGCTGTAATTCTGATCACATGTTTATATTTTGCTGTTCAATTAAATTGTTTATAACTCTGATAATATGATTACATTCCGCTGTTGTAATAATAAATATTATACTATGATATTGTATTAAAAGTGATGTCAGAAATGGTTAAATGATGTAAGCTTTATTCTCTTATTTGTGATCCTGATGGCAAAAATGTGGATATTCGGGTTCTCCCCTAGGGGTGTGTCCGACGAAGCCGAGTAATTTGGTGTTCTCCCCTGAGTGCTTAGTGTCTAATGAAAGACAAGCACTCTTGGGAGACATTAGGTTAGACGGTTCTACCATAAATCACCTCACTATGACCTTGCTCTTCTTGGCACTCTCAAGGGAGTTTCTCAGCTGTTGGAATGAGCAAAAGTGATCCCTTGAGTGAATAGAGGAAGTATTTATAACCCCTTATTCAAAACGAACTGTTATGTGCCTCTGCGGGGTGATCGGACGCTCCGGTCAAGGTGACCGGACGCTCTGGTCAGTTCACCTGCTACTACGCAGTTTAAGTTGTGATCGGACACTGACCAGCGTCCGGTCAGCACTGACCGGACGTGTCCGGTCACAAAAACTGCCTTCTAGAACCTTACTGATGTTGACCGGACTCTGGCACCCAGCGTCCGGTCACTTTGCTGTTCAGCGTCCGATCAGTATCCGGAACCTGACCAGCGTTCAGTCAGCACTGACCAGACGCGTTCGATCAGGATTCTCCCTCTCTGGAACCTTACTGGAGTTGACCGAACTCTGGCATCCAGCGTCCGGTCTCATCCAGACGACTTCACCTTGATCAAATGAACTGACCGGACTCTGCGTCAGCGTCCGGTCAACGTTTGACCCTCCATTCACTTCCAACTCGCAATCATATGTGAATGAAGTTTGCTCCAATTGATCTAAGGGCTATTTAGGAGCTACCTAGTGCTAGATTAGACAAGTGTGCACCACACCTAACCCACTAGACTCACCTAGGTCAAGCTACCCGTCCATACCCCCCTTAATAGTACGACCAAAGAAAAAACAAAATCCTAAACTACTCTAAGTGTCTCCTCAACACCAAACGACACTTAGAACTAGTCCATCCTTAACCTTGTCGTCCATCCTTTGAAAACCGAAACGATTTTCATCGTAGGGGCATGACAACCATGATTGCCCAATCAATTGCCATTACCATGACCTAACTTAATTGCATCTGCAAAACACACGTTAGTCACAGTAATCTCGTATTGTCATTAATCATTGAAACTCAACTAGGGGCCTAGATGCTTTCAATAATTAATTAAATGAATACGACAAATATGAAATAATGAAAACAACCAATAGTCACACCTCACTAATACTGCGTGAATTATGATAGTACCTAACAAGTACTTTCTAACTACAAAATAAGTAAATAAAATAATAACTACGTATATATACACATTATACTCACTAAATAGCTAGATCCTATCTAGTTAACTAAATATATAACTACCTATCTAAGTAGCTATCTAACTATATGTATGTACCTATGTATCTATGTTTCTATCTATCTACATATCTATCTCACTAGATCACTAACTAAATCAACTACTTGAGTTATCACATTAACTAGTAAATAACAAATACGAAAACTACTACACTACAATCAAAGCTAACTAAGTACGTACATTGCATATTCACAATTTTTACCTGTCCAACAACGGAGTCATGGATGTCGACGGAGTCGCAGCGGATGCCGGACGTGGGTAAGGCCGACGAGCCGGGCCGGCGATGGCACGGCCGGGCGCTGCAGGGGGCCGGGGCCGGCGGTGGCGCGCGGCGGGCGCGGGATGGCCGACGCTCCGCGCGGTGAGGCCGGCACAGCGGGCGAGGCTGGGCGCGGGCGAGGCCGGGCGCTTGCGGCATGGCACAGCGGGCGGGCGCGGCGCCGGCGCGGTGTCCGCCGCGGCCACGGCCGAGGGCGCGGGGAAGGGCGGTCGGGCGCGGGCGAGGGCGGCGGCGGTGCGCTGGTTCGAGCAGGCGCTGGCGCTGAGAGAGAGAGAGGGAGAGCAAGAGAGAAAGGAAAGGAGAACCCATACGTAAGACAGGATTGGCGCCAGTAATCATGGTGCCGAGCTCGGTGCCCAGATCTACGGTGCCGAGCTGCCTACCATGTCACTGTCACGTCTGCGTCGAGCCCAAGAGCTCGGCGCCAGCAACGATGACACCAAGACAGCTAGCGCCAAGCTAACGGTCCAGATTTTAAAATGTTACCTTTCGTGGGCATATTTATGAAATTTTTTCAAAAAAAAAAAGAGCTAAAAAATAAAAAAATCGGCAGTAGCTATGGCCATTCGATCGATCAGGCCAATGACTCTGGGCACAGTCCATTCCATCGCTACACCTGTCGTCAGAGCGTGGCGCCAGGGTTCGACCCAGTGTGTTGCTTAAAGAGGGAATTGATAAGTTTCAACTATATCTCAAAATTCCAAACAACGAGAGAGAACTGTTCGCACATAAGGCTGGGAGGCACCATGGCCACATAAACCTGAACCGAGCAGCTGCAGTCGCAACCATTACCAGGGAGGCATCATGGCCGCATAAGGCTGGCAGGTGGGCACGGGACCACGGGTGTAGAAAAAAGGTAATATGATCCAAGATAAAGGGTGCGTGAATTTGAAAGATACATTCAATTTCACCCAGCACGTTGAACTATCCCAACTGTAGTCCACATTACATTTACACCGAAAGAGCCAAAAAAACAACAAACTTTAGACAACTCAATTGACAGCTTCATATAGTTCAGATATTAATATTTTTACCATAGGAAGCCTTCTAACCAACGCCTTCTTCAAAATTGTGATCTCTAGTGGGTGAAAATAGTCTCTAAAGAATCGCAACATCATTGTTTTATTGTGTTAAGCTGAATCTTCGGAGAATTTATAGTGTTTGATGTTTCCCCACTGCCCCAGCACAAGTGAGCTTGGGTCCAAGCCTTAGCTCATAGCCTTGCTCAGCATCAGGTGAATCAGTAGGAGGATGCTGACTCCGATCATGACATTTTGCCTTGTCATATTTTCTGCAACTAGCCGCCACCTGTAAGTATCAACCAGTAGATAGCTGCTGATAAAGCCTGTTTAAAATTTCATCTTTATCACTACCAGAACATACATACTAGAATGCAACGCAAAGATCAGATTTGTTATTTTTTAAAAGGCAACCAGTAAGCTGACACCAGTGGACTTTGCTTCTTTTGAAATGAAGTTCAATGCATCTATGTGCTTTATGTTTGATTGGATAGAAAGGAAAAGAGATAATAAATGGCAATTTGAAATATCAGGTGCAGTAGAAGAACAGTTCAAATGGACGAATATCACAACAAAGGCAGGCCAAATTAAGCTAGTGAGATTATCAATTTTTGCAGAGGATACATGCTTGCTAGCATTATAAATAAGTTCATGAGTCAAACAGAATACAAAAAAGCCAAGACAGTATAGAATGCAACTCCAGTAATATGGTGAACTGAATCGTGCGGTCAGAAACAAAAATTTCATTTCCATTCAAATGTTAGGAAGGGTGGGGGATGGATCGCTGTTGTGTAAATGCATGTGTTGTTTGTGTTCATGTGATCATGCAGTTGTGAGGATCTGCCTGAACTTACCAATTTCCTGCTACAAAAGTGTTCTGTTCTTTCGTGGCTTCCTCTACTGCAAATTCTTCCAGCAGCACACGCTGACGTTCAGTAACCACCCTGCAGAATAAAATGTGTGCTATGAATTAAATGAAAGGGCAAGTGTTTTACCATAAAAAAAAACAAAACGGCAACAAAATTAAGACTGTTTAATCCAAAGGCCATCAAATGATCAAATGTTACTTAGCATAAACCAGGCTGAAAACTGATATATTGATGAAGAAATTGCTAAGAATACAATTATACATAGTAACAAGTGATACAAATACCAAGCTTTATTCTATTATTACTAGGCCCATTAGGACAAGCGTACACAGAGGAGTGCAAGAGCAAACATGCAATGAGCACAATCTAATCCAACTAGTTGTATAACTGTAGACTGCCGTGGATAAAAAGGGATCTCACTCTCACCAAAAGCCACCTATAACATTGAGTTGTTGCAGCCTGCACAAACTGCAGTCGTGTTCAAACTGCTCATTTTTTGAAACCTCTGTCTCCTAGCTCAGTCACTACAATACCTCGTGTGGCAACACATTTTCCATTTGTTGACCAAAGGAGTGCCATGTTTTACATTAAGTATAAACCACTAGTGGTTAAGTTTTTTTCTAGCATTTTACACTACAAGCTTCAATAGCAGCAAAAAAGAATAAGGACAACACTTTATACGTAAATTCCTCAAGGCTAACAAACAACGCTCACCCCTCATAACAATCTTCAGGATATAGCAGTCAAACCATAGAATTCTCCCTAGAAAAAACAAGAAAGAAAAAACGCTCAAGCTTTACCCAGTCCCTGCCTGTTCCTTCCCAGCTTCTCTCCAGTTCACAAGCCAAACGCACTGACAGACAGCGAGCAGTGGTGGACAGGATGCCGGAGTTCCAATTTCTCTGCTAACCACCTTGAACCACCAGGCCCAATTATCAGTCTCCCCACCCCAAGCACTGGTGAGGAACAAAATAGCCTAGAATGGACACAAGCGTTGCAACGCTGCAGGCCATGCTGACAGGAAGGCCAGAGGATAGAGCGCCAGTGAAAGGACAGCATCGACACCAGTGTCTCCAGCAGGTGGTTGGCAAGTATGGACAGGTCACAGTGGGAATTTAACAGATTCAAAGGCGAGCCACAAGGGGTCGAAGCCACGGAGGATGGCAGGCGTCAACTAAAGGAATCTGCTAAGACAGAGGAGACTATCTGTTTCATCAGATCTGGAGACGAGAAGTAAGGAACAGAGTGGCAGATAGCCTGCCACAGCTATGGAATGGTGGTTTGCTCCATATTTTATTCAGTGGCAACGTGGGAAATAAAACAAAGTGTAGGGTAAAATGATGACAATGGCAGGCACACCACACACCATCACAAACAAACTCGATTTTCCAGAGTCGAGATGCTGAGTCTGATGGAGCAGTATTCTAAATATTGCTTATAGATCAATTTGTTGAGGAAAGGTGGCCGATCCGCATATGCTTCAATGTCATTTATTGAAGCATATAAATTGTGACGATTTAGAGTTATCTCATACTGCTAGTCTTTGTTTATCATTTATAGAGTTATAGACTCATAACCAAACTGAGCATTTTAACTTGTTAAGAGGTTATCACATGCCAATCTCAGTTAAAGCTAGCCCAACTGAACAGCTTAACCATCTGTCTTCAGACTGGGTTGACTTCAGGCTGTGCAAACAGCCAAACAGTTCAGCAAATCCACTAAATCTGTACAGCTTCGACTCTTTTCCGCTTCATGGATGATTAATCATTACTTTTGTTCTGAAGAATATAACAAGATCTTTTTAACGAAATGTGAGCTAACAGGCAACCAATCAATTACCAACCCAATATACTTTTACTTCAAGGGCAGATGATCAAATGAACTGGAACACCAACAATTTAATATATATGGAGAAAAGCTATAGCATGTCGGCAAAAATTGTGCCAAGAAAAGGATAGCCAGCTTACGAGGGAAAATGAATTCGGAATCGGACATATTGGTCCCCGAAGTATCCTGACGGATCTGGCAATCCTAATAGAAATTATGATCATCAGCACTTTACTAGGAAAAGTCAGGTGAGGCATTTCTCAAATTTCATAAGTTACCTTTCCCCCTTAAAACTACAACTTGCCCTGGTTGGACTCCTTTGGGTATCTGGATAAATTCACCAGATGTCAATTAGGTAAAATGATGACAATTGAAAATTTCTTCAATGCCATTGAAACCTACAACCATCCCTTATGTGCAATCAGAAATTATGGGTTCCCTTCAATGCCATCAATTCTATTTTTTCTTTCCCTTGTGTGCCATTGGTGGTTACTTGCCTGTTAATTGGTTCTGAAAAGACAATTATACGCCTTCAATTTTCTGTGCAGTGATAAATAAGCCCATGTCCAGCCTACTGTTCCTCTTCTAAAGAGCATGCATGTACACTAAAAAATTGTGATTATGTCTGCGTCTCGACGGAAATATAATTCTTCCATTAAGTATGTATAAAAAAATGAACCTCTCGCAAAAATGAAGTTCTGCAGAAATAATGCACAATCGGCGATGTGTGTGATGGGTAAAATAGTCACAATTGGTGCTATTGGATGATGATTTAAAGGTGTTAGCTTTTAACTTTACTAAAATTAGCGGTAGTGGCATAGAAGGGAAGAAAAAAATCCAAATGGATGGCAATAAAGGGACACTAAATTTTTCAATGGAACATAAGTGATAGTTATAGGTTTCAATGGCATTGACGGAATTTTCTCGAAGAAAAAATGGTGGGGAATAAATATATTATTTTAAACTTGAAAGCCTATCCACTCAATAAGTACACGCAGATATGTTTCAGCAAAACAGAGATTATCATGTGCATGGAGACATGTACTCATTGAAAATAACATCAAGTTATTAGTTAATAGTAATTACCAGGCATTTTAAATTTGAATTGAAATAGGCTCCATGCATATATGCAGTTATAGACAAGCAACACAAGAAGCAGATAAGATGATACAGGAAGTGCCTAGTAGCTTTTGTCAGTGTCAGTACACGCATGTACAGTTCCACCAAGAATTGTTACCTTCACTTCTGTTTTCCCATTTAAAGTAGGTACTTCAACGTTTCCACCAAGCATTGCCTGCAAGTTTTATAAAAGGAAAATCAGCATGAATGCGTCACAAGTAAACTATGAAAGCACAAACTCATTCTTTACAGAAATGTCAAAGAAAATCAAAATTGTTAGAGAAGTGCCAGCTTTAAAATGTTGCACAGAATTATAATAATGACATTATAACCAACTACAAATTCTGAATACACTGACACCCTAGTTGATCGTATGCCAGAAACCTTAAAGGTAAATCCAGAGTGAAACATTACAATGGAACCAAATGTGAAGTCAATAAATCTTTTACTGAACGGCCTTCATTTGTCATGAAATGAAGGTTAGAATAATGATACATAAACTAATAAAGGGGAAGGGCGACACATAATTTATTGTTAGGAAAAAATTCCTGAGGCTGAGTGAGAAATAGCATAGCTTTAGAATGTTCAAATGGAAAGGAGTAATACTGAAGCTATTACCTGTGTGAAGCTTATCCTTTTATCGACATGGATGTCAGCACCATCTCGGGTAAACACAGGATCAATTCCTACCTAGGATATACACAGTTGACTGGAGAATCAGAAGATATTTTCTTTGATACAAGACATCAATAAAATTGCATACAAAATATAAAAAATCATAATGGCCGCAGCTGATATAGCATCTACCTCTAATAAGTACAGAAAATAGCACCCCATAAGGCCATAACACCTATAAACCCACCAGCAGTTAGTAGTTATAAACAAAGAGAACTGCTGCCTGATCTCTCCTAATAACAGGGTGTTGGTTATGGTCTCAACCTTACATGGTTGTGAGAATCAAACACAGGTACAAATCACATTGAGACATATTAAGCCTGGTGACAAATTGGCAAAGGACATGCATGACATAAGGAATGCTATAAGCATCCATTATATTTTGGTCACAGGTCCTTCACTAATAATATGTGTGGACCAAACAAGCTAACCTAATGCTCCCAGTGGTACTAACTTAAGTATCTTTGAGGAGGTATTTCTGACTATTGGCATTAAATAGAAATGAATGTGCTGGACCATCCAAGTCTAGAAGTAAGCCTGTGAAAAATGAATAAAGGCCAGTGTAAACACAAAGTGGCCTGAAGAAAGCTTTGAAGAAACTGATTCTGATATCGATGATGGGTTAGCAAGGACTGAGCTTTGAAATGGATCCTTTGGGTTCAGGCATGGTTTGACAAATGGGACTTCCCTTTTGTTTCCCTTCAGAACTGGAACAACTGCTGGAGCATACAATTCATCACTTACCGGCATGTCTCTAGTAAAAGTAGCTTTTTATTTAAAGCAAATTGTACATTTTGTGCTACCAAAGGCCATTTGAATTTAAGTAGGCATGACACCAGGCACATTTAACGATGGCTGGAATTGAAGGCATGGTTTCCCAGCAGAATGTGAACCGCTCATTTTGTGAATCCATAGTTTCCAATCTCTATTAAAATCACGACAGACCCTACCAAACACATAGAGAAATGTAACACTTACTACCACCTATGGATTAACCCTCAATTCTCATCCACAATTTCTGATTGTTACAGGCACACCAAATAAGAATTAATGTTACTTCCATCTGAAAGAACACATGGTTTCACGAGCACAATCAATCGAATTTGCTGATACATTGAAACTCTAGTAAGACAGACAAAACAAGTAAACATCTGAAAATTGCTTTGTTTTTTCTATCATTTCTGACTGGCACTCCAGAACAGTTTAACACCAACAAGCCTATATTGCAGATATTTCTCTGATTAGGTAAGTAAATTTTGGGTAGTGGAATCCACTATTCCACTTAACTTATAGATCGATATATATGTATAAAAAGAACCGTGCATGGATATGGACTCTCACTTGAATTTTGATGTGTAAATTTCCAGATTGGACACCAAGTCCACCACTATCTCCAGCCTCCGGTACATTGATTGTGTCACCAGAATCAAGTCCTATGTTGCAGAAAACAAGAAAATCTTCAATGAATTATACACTATTACAATGCAAACTCTACTGTTACATGTTCAGTCTATAGTAAACGTCAGGCAGAGTTTAACTAATAACTCCTTCAGGCAACAAGCCGTACATGCAAAGAGACGAGAAACAGCCCCAAAAACTATAAAGCAACCAAATCCTTCTAATAGAGTGAAAAGAGCAACAAAGGCTACCAATGGGTATAGTATGTAAAAGCACCTATATTTTGGCATGTTAGCTCAACTACATACAAGTTGTGGAAAGTTTCCAGTAGAACCAATGCAAATATGACTCTCTGCAATCCCATATTCCCATTAGGATATATAGGACAATTGCACACAGTAACTTCAAAGTCCAAACAATCTAAACTTATGAGCATGTGCACGTGTCTGGAAAAAGAACAAACTGAAAAAGGCAATTGAAGCTGAGTGCACAGTACCTGCTGGTATATCCAATTTTACATGTTTCATACCATCTACCACCCCTGAACCTTGGCATGTCAAGCAGTAATCCTGTGGAAAACTATCATTCATGAGACAGGGCAAAACACACTAAATCTTTATGGTACCTCCAGGAACATTACCTTTATTACTTTCCCAACACCTCTGCAAGAACTACAAACAGATGTGAATGGATACATAGTGACCTGCATAAACCAATATGTGATGTCCAAACTCCAAAGCAGATGAATGTACCATATGTATCTGCAAGTACTTACTCTTCCCAAACCTTTACATGAGGGACAAACATATATCTTTGCATTTGGCAAGTGACCTCTCCCACCTAACAGTAAAACAAAATCAGTATTAATGAGAAAAGAAAGAGGATATGGGCTAAATCAGAATGATCATTATTATATGTACAAAAAAGATGGCAGCTTTGCAAAGAAAACTTTAGTATTAATTAGTTCTAACGCTACATACTTCAGCAAGTCATCATTCATAAATCTTAGCCTTTCAAGTCCCATCTAGTACAGTAATAGAACTACCTTATGGGGCCTAAATCACAAGGTGTCCTAAGTTTGCTAGTGTCACAAGTCACAAGGTTATGATTGGTTACTACTATTACATTGTTCACAAAACCCCATGGAGTGTCCAAATGAAACCTGGTAAACATATGACAATCTTCCTACAGATTTCAGACGATAACTATTTTCTAAAGAATGCTTCATTCAAATAACTACCATCCAAAACTTGATTCCAAAAGTTTATGACAGGAACAAAGAACACAAATAGTATTAGAAATAGCATCCTAATAAATAAATAACTAAATGAACACCAGAGTTATCTTGCCATCAGCTTAAATTTTAGATGCATGGAAACAGCTATTGAACTAATGGTGTCTCTGAAGTAGGTGTCAATTCAACAGACAAACTACTTGGATATATGACATGCGCAAATCAATAAACAAAAAATTTAGGAAAAATGTCAAAGCATAATGTACGAGACAGTTGAAAGCTCATTTCAGAAAATGACTTAAGTGCCTACTAACAGTAACTGCATGAAAACAAAGGTTTAAATTTTGATTTAACAGATACGCATACAAAAGCCAAGTGCAATAAAAAAAATGCTCCCGAGCAATAACTTCCAGCATAAAAGTGTACTCACCACATGAATCACAAACATTTTTTGCATGATAGGACACTTGCTTTATGCAGCCATTGGCAGCTTCGCTAAAAGACAGATTCAATTCTACCTACTTAAGTTAAGATATAAAATAAGTTCAAGAAAAAAAAAGACAAAAGGAAAACGACACTTAAAATAAGAGGAACAAGCCTAAAAATGAACCTTAATATCATTTGCCTGCACGTTTATGTCTTGCTGGAAAACCTGAAAACCAAGAAAATAAGTATCATTTCATACTCTGTAGTCAGCACTGACATGACAAATGGAAGAAAAATGTGTTTGCAGGGACAGGAAACCACCTCAGAAAATATTTTATAGAATTTACTAGAGAAATGACCATCATTCTGTCTGTGGAATTCTGTGAAAGGGTCATGTCTCTGATTGTTGGATCCCGAGAATGTGTCATGATAGGACCCATCAAACTCCGGCCTTGACCCTCTAGAAAATAGCTGCAATATTACAACACAAAATAAACTTGTAGCAGATTCCAAAAAAATCACTCCAATCAAAGGGCTTGGAAGAATCCAAGTCATTTCCTAAAAAAGGCGTAAAAGGGAAACCAGACTATGACAACTTACCATGTCATATTGCTCTCTCTTTGAAGAATCCCGTAGTGTCTGGAGTCCAAAATGACCATAATAAGACTGTTAATTTTAGCGCAACAATGAAAAAATCAACAGGAAAACACAAATTGCGGTAACTTACTTGCCTCATATGCATCTCTTATTTCCTGAAACATCCTTTTTGCACCAGCATTGCCTCTATTTGTGTCCGGATGATACTTTTTGGCAAGCTACACACATTTTTGTATTTAGAAGCAGAAGTGTAAATGATTCAATTAGCAAACAAAACCATCAGATCACACCATTTGTACTTTTTTTAATCTACGGAACATATTGCTAACATGCATGCTGAAGATCAATCATTTATATACTGTACCTTATTATTTACAAGTGAATCTGACCTCCCCATTCATTGTTCAACATATCTGCCTAATTTTCATCCTAATCCCAGTTTGTTCAAATTCTTAAAGCATATATGTTTGAAGGCCATATAAGTATACAATATCCATAGTCTGTATAATATAATAACAAAAATTGGTTTCCAGTCGCTGGCAGGATTCAATGGCACACCTAACGAAGCTACACAACAAGTGAAGAATCACACATGCAGTGCCTTCAGAAATGTACAGCATCACACATGATGATATGAAAAAGATAGGAATAGGTGAGATTGCCACTTGATCAATGGATATTAGATTCACAGAATGCTCATCTTAAATAAATAGTCCAATCATGAGCAAGCCTTGGAATATCTCAAGATCAACTGAACTGTAATGATACTCACGGAATGAAATGCCTTCTTGATGTCATCCTGCGATGCATCCTTAGGAACACCAAGAATTTTGTAGTAGTCCTTGTGTTTTGAACAACGGTGACCTGGCAAAAGCAACCATAAATGTTTAGTTGCCCTTTATGATTGCAAAAGTAATTGTGATGTGTAAACCAAGTATAATAACCTGTAGCATGAAAACTCCGGCTCAATACAAATGGTGTCAACATGAATCGACCATAGAACTTATCGCCAATATAGATGCCCGTAGAGCTGCAAGCTGCAATTCTCCAGATGAAAACAGAAACAAGCATGGGTAAGAAGCAGATAAATATGAGAGTAGCCAGTAAATGTATATACTTGATCTGAATTTAAATCTGAAAACTGCAGATGTCAAGAGTTATATTGTATCTGTGGCATATAATATTCTTCTCCAACAATAAACACAGAAACACATCCAGTATAGACAGTGCAGGGCAGTTGTTCCCAACTTCCACCCACATCCATTTCAAGGAAGGCATGAGTATGAAATGAGTCGGCTAAGCCCATAATCTAAAATTTGTTTAATCACAATAACCCTTCGTATTATATTCATATCGGGATGTGAATTTTAAGAGTTCTTTCTGCTAGTGTAGTTTGAATATAAATCTACAATTATTCAAATAATAAAAACATGTAACAATAAAACAAATGAACGAGAAAATGCATTGCACAAACGCGATTAGCAAGTCAATAGCCTGTAAAATGAACGGTTTGTAGGAAGTAATCAGCTGTTATCATTTTTCCCAAGCCCACCAGATTACCAAATTATCTAAATTTTTAATAGTAGATTTTCATCAGAAAGAGCAAAACTTCTCTCAAACCCAAACCAGCAAGGGATCAAACAAAACACACAAAATGGAACGGAGATTACGTGTGTTCCGCTGAATCCATGCGCACCTCTGCACGGCCACCTGCAAGCAAAACCCCCAAACAGAGTAAACAAGTGGCAGTCTGGCACTCCCCAAAACCCAAACAGGAGGGCAAAATGGACAGGGAACTAAGTGAGCGCTCGCTCGTCTCACCTCGCCCGACCGGGGCTCAAGGAACCTCGACGCATGCCTGAGCCACCCGAACCGACCCATCGGGGGCGGCGGCGCAATGGGCCAATGGAGACAGGTCGACTCGGGCTGCGGAGACTGCAGTCGTCTGGAGCGCTTGGCTGAGAGGTCACCGGGCTGGCGAATCTGGCGATCAACAAGACCTGCGGAGAATCAGCTCGGTTTGGAAGAGCTGCTAGATGATTCCGGAAGCGTGCCGGGTCGAGAAGCCCGGCGACGGCGAGGGAAGAGCGGCGGCATGTGACTTGTGAGGGGATCGTGGATTGGGGGAGAAGAAAGGAAGAAAATTGCTTCAGGGACTGGGAGGGTTTAGGGGAAATGGGCTGCCTCATCGACCTAGCTGATGATGGGCCTTCTGCTTCCTCCCTTTAACACAACTCCATGGCTTCATGGGCCTTGTTTTATTGGCTCGAGAGTTTTCGATCCTTTGCCGCGTTGAAACTCATTTCACCAGAAACGGCTAAATATTTGCCAAAGGGTTTTTGCGGCAAATTTGGTCCGATGAATGCGAAACACATGTCTGGTAGTAGCTGCTAGACTACCACTCCTGCAGTGTCGTGCAACAGTAATAGTCTGTCCATGCGCCAGCGATGGCAGCCTACTGTACTACTGTTGACTGCTTCTAGCTTGCAGCCCTTGTTCCTCGGAATCAGCCCTTGTCTCATTGACCAAGGGCATGTTTGGCATGGCTTCAACTCCAAATAAAGCAGCTCTACTCCAGAAATTCAGGCGGAGTTGGCTCTAAGTGGAGTTGGAGCTGTGTTTTTAGTGTGTTTGGCTAGAAAGAGAGTCTCAGCTCCAGAACCATGTTCAATCGTGTAGAATGCCCACTTTGCCCTCTGAGTAAGACCCACATGTCATCCTCTCTTGTTGGTTGCTATAGAGGAACTCACCATTGTCTACGGGGAAGAGGGCGCACCGCGGCAGAGAGCTCCGTCCGCTGGAGCAGGGAGAGGAGCCATGCAGAGAGAGCTCCGTCCGCCTTGAGAAAGCAGAGAGGGAGCATGGGCATGGCGCCCCCCGCGAGGTGGGCTCGTGCTGGGAGGTCCCAGATACACAGGTGGGGTGGGGGGTGGCGTGGGACGGGTCGCCTAGTCGCGAGGAAGCCGCGCGTACGCTTGCTAGGGACGGCGGGGGGCTTCACGTCGCCCTCTTCTCCTTCTTCTCCGGCAGAGATGGAGGCGTCCTTCTTCCCCTTCTCCTCTAAGGTTAGGGTTGGGGATGGAGGAGACCTTCTCTTCTTTACTAGGGAAAAGGTGGGGGATGGAGTAGAGGGGGAAGAGAGGCGGGGAGGGAGGAGGGGGCCCATGATGATGGCGTCGTGGGCCGTGGCCCGGAGAGCTTAGTGATCGCAAGGTGGCCGTCGCCTTGGCCACGCTGGATTCATGGAGAGAGAGAGGGAGGGAGGGGGAGTCGGCGGCACGCGGGTGTGGGAGGCAGAGCGAATAGAAAGAAAAACGGTTCGAGTTGTGTAATCAGTGGTAATTGCGGGTAATTTCACCCCAACTCCACGTCTAGATCTATTTTTGCCAGTTCTAGAGTAGGAGAAGAGGTGCTCCGAAACTCCACCTCCATTTGCATTACAGCTCTATGGAGTTGGCAGCTCCATGGAGTTTTGGAGCTGGGGTGTTTGGCTGGAAAATTAGTTGGAGTTGCTGGAGTTCAGCTCCAGAGCCATGCCAAACAGAGCCTAAATTTAGAACTGCATTGATCTTGATGCAAATTTAGATCAATGCATTTAGAACTGCATTCAATCACCTGACATTGGTTGATAAATTTGCTTAGGTAGGTTTGGATCAGGACTAAAGTTTGGCCTCTAAAGTTTAGCTTGCTGGGTTGTTTGATGCATAGGCTAAACTTTACTTTTCTAATCTGTTCTCATTTAATTATCCATGCACAACCATATATACGAGCGGCAAGGGGTATGGGGTGTCTAGCACCTGCCCTGAGGGAGTTTAGTCCAGTTTAGGGCCTCTTTGGCAGTAAAATATTTTAACCTAGTTTTTAGTCATTTGCTCACTTTTAGCCCTCCTGTTTGGATTCCCATGGCAAAAAAAAGCTAAAAATGCTGAGCTAAAGTTTTGTCATGGGATCCGAAAAGGACAGAGATTGAACACCTTAAGGTGGTGTTTGGATCACTGGTCTCCTGCTGAGCTGTTTGATCCATGGGCTAAACTTTAGTCCTTTAATCTATAATGACTGATTTACCCTCATTTAATTATTCATGCACAGCCATGTATGCGAGCAGCAAGGGGTATGGGGCGTCCAACGTCTGCCCCGAGGGAGTTTAGTCCAGTTTAGGACCTCTTTAGGAGCAAAAGATTTTAATCGAGCTTTTAACCATTTGCTCACTTTTAGTTTCCTATTTGATCTCTATAGGAAAAAAACTAAAACTATATGGCTAAAATTTTGTTCGGTGTCAGGCCGTGTTTAGTTTAAAAAACTTTCCCAAAAAGTGCTACAGTAGCTATCACATCAAATCTTGCAATACGTGTATGGAGCATTAAATGTAGACGAAAAAAAAACTAATTGCACAGTTTTGTTGGAAAATCGCGAAACGAACGTTTTGAGCCTAATTAGTCCATAATTGAATACTAATTGCCAAATAAAAACAAAAGTGCTATAGTAGCTAAATTCTCAAATTTCACGAACTAAACACAGCCTCTGGTGAAGTGTTGGATCTATGAGTACTAGTAGCCTTGGTATCTCTGCAAATTAAAATCAGAAGTTGCAAAACAGTTTTAACATCGCCAACTGACAAGTCCACGTCAGGGAGAGGTACGACCGTACGAGCGCCATTATCGATATCTACTAGAAGCTAAAGATCACCATTTTCAAAAGTGTGGGCCCGGGTTGATCACCATTTTCAAAAGTGCGGGCCCGGGTTGTTTACAAACGGTGGGAGATCTCAATCTCAGGGTTCCCCCCAGCGTGACGCTCGTCTAATGGCGAGCATCTGGAAGATGGACGTCAACGGATGACCGAGCGTGGACACACAGGAATTGATTAAGCTTCCGCGGCGCCGGTAGTGCCGTATCGTTTGACTTGGAGTATGCTTGTGTCCTCCGTCACGCCACAAAACGGCCGCGTGACCGAGCGCGCAATGTACACACATTTTGTTGCTCGTGCTATGGGGAAAAAACTGTTGTTATGAACACACGCTTAAATTTCGTATGAATTTGATTATTTTCACGGGAGTTCGTATGTTTGAGACGACAGTGCTCTGTTGGTTTCTTGCATAACTTCAAAACCATCCATCTCCATGCGGGAAGTAGGAGTAAACCATGTGCCGGTGTGGACGAAAAGACACAATAATCAGTCAACACTTATCTCAATCTTTTTTCTAAATCTATTTAAATACTAATTTCTCAAGTAGCCCAGCCAAGTTCATGTACTACTAGTATCTTACACCTCCAATTCTTCAACGGCAACGAAAGAAATGAATCAAGAACTCTTTTTTTTCAAAGTACTATACGCTAAGACAAAAGATTTGAAAAAGAAACCTATTTGCAGCTGAACGACGGAATCACCGCTTCAGCGGTGCGTTCCCACTCGCGTGCGACCTGCTTCGTCTCGCGGATCACATTCACATGGCGATGGATCGTGGATACGTCTGCAGATCGCTCCAGACATGCAGCGTCTCGTCTCGTCCCAATTCTCTCGCCGCGCATTGATACGCCACCAGACCACGTGCAGTGTCCGTGCGACGACATGGCTGCCGTTGCCGTTTCAACGGACGAATGGGGCAAGTAGGCGAGCAGCACATGCGAGCGCACGCTCAAGCCTGCCGCTGCCGGGCGATGGCCTTCTCCTCGTCGTCGTCCTCCTCCGTCTCGCTGTCGCCGGCCGCGGCGCCGACTCTCGCGCCCGTGACAGCGGGGGCGACGCCGAGGCAGTCGAAGCGCACGCTGCCTTTAGCTGGGGTCACCAAGCCGTCCGACGCGCCGCCCGTCTTTTCACGCCTGGTTCTCGTGGACCCTCCCGTCGTCCCCGCTGCCACGGCCGCCGCCTCCAGGTCGGGCGCCCTCCTCGACGACGCGGACCAGAACGGGACCCGCGAGGAGAAGGTCCGGGTGATGAACGACGGCCACCGGTCCGACCTCCCGAGCCGCGCGCTCCTGGCGCCGCCGTTCCCGCGGGCGTCACGCTCACGCGGCCCCGTGCGGCGCAGGCTCTCCTCGCTGGCCGCGGCGACCATCTCCCTGCGCACGTGCTCCGGCAGCCGAAGCGTGAACCGCTCCAGGTCGCCGTCGAGGCGCGTGGCGAGGGAGTGACCCGTCGAGTGCGACCGCGGGACGACGGGCGGCGCCGGCCGCCCCGACCGGGACCGCACCACGCGGCGCTGGCTCCCGATCCGCTCCAGCTCCATCGCCTCCTCCCGGCGCCTCCTGTCCTCCTCCTCCTCCTCCTCGGCGCCATCGTGGCTCACGTCGATAATGGCCACCTGATCCTGCTGCTGCTGCGCCTCCCCCGTCGCCTCACCGGAGCCGGCCGCGGGCTCCTCGGGATCGAGGTTGCACCGGCAGACGGGGCACGTCACGTGGCCGGCGAGCCACTCGCCGATGCAGTCCGGGTGGAAGGCGTGGCTGCAGCTGGGCAGCAGCCGGAGCTCCTCGTCGTCCTCGAACTCGCTGAGGCAGACCGCGCACTCGAGCGGGGCGTCCTTGCCGCCGCCGACCCGGAGCGCTTTCGCGTCGGCGTACCTCATCGTCGGGAACGACGCGACCACGGCGGGGTCGAGCCCGCGCTGCTGCTGGTTCCGCTGCTCCTGCCGCGACAGAACGAGCAGCGCGGCTGCCGGGATCCCGGGCCCCGCCGAGGCGCCCCGCCCGCACCGCCGCATGTACACGGAGAAGAAGCCGATGAAGGAGAAGGCCGCGATGAGCGCCACCAGCAACACGACCATGGGAGCGCTGAAGCTGGGCGACTGGCCCGGCATGCCACCTCCGCCGTCACCGTTACCCTTGTCCCGCGACGGGCTCTGCTGCGCGGCGGCGGGAGCGTCGAGCAGCAGCAGTAGCAAA